AATAAGATATAAGCAATCTTATGTAAGCAATATTTTATAATATTAGAAACTCAGAAATTAAAGCTACTCAATCATGTCAGTTTTTGCATTTCATGTAAAAGATAAGTGATGTCAGTTCAGAGCTGGGGATGCATTTGCTGCACTGCAGACAATGTTATGGTACATGCCTTTTTCTATAAATAAATAGGTAAATAAAATCACTAAAATAGGCAGTTTGTTTTCACAAAGCCTGAATTTTTACTAAATCCTGACCTTTCACTGTGTAAGTGAACTTGTCCTAACAAACCAACTGTATCTGCTCCCTCACTATTTTAAACCATCTGACTGGTGGTTTTAAAAACCCAGTACTGTACAGTAGCGTCTGTCCGGGCTTCATCTCGCTAGCAAAGAGCCTGGGAATCTCACTGTGTACAAGAACACTTTGAACATTACACTGGTGTGTCAGCTCACAGCTCATGCCAAGTAGCAGAACTGAAACCATTGCCTGGGACACAAATCAAATGGCATTAATGAGGAATTTTTTTTAAGGCTTTTTCCAGTGTGAGACATTTTTTATGCTCTAAGGTACTTGGCATTTTCTGACACCTGTGCAACTACCAATAAAATCCGAATCACTTAGAAAGCTCTTCAGGCTATACAGATATCCACAGAGTTTCTTTGGAAAGATGCCCTCTAATACTTCAATGATGCAATCTTTGGCTGACAAGGTGCAACTCCCACTAGTTACATTTGTCAGATTTAATCCTACGGGTGCATGTGTCTTTTTGAGATGCTGTGACTACAAGTAAAGATAGAAAGAAAACAGATGACGCTTTTTAGCAGCAAGAACTAGAAAAAAAAAAAAAAAAAAAAAAAGCAGAATTGCTACTTACAAAATCAAATTTAAAAAAAAATTCCTAAATGTCATCAATAAATAAGATATAAGCAATCTTATGTAAGCAATTCAGGGGATTCATCTTGCTCCAGGCTGCAGTGTTCAGCAGATACAGAACAGATGTGCTGTGAGAAGACATAGCAGTGTTTGCACTCTAATGAAGCTTCTGACAGTACCATGCTCAGTTCTGCTTTTCACCTGTCCTTCAGGACACCTGTTCATTTTTGTGCTGCTTCACAACTGCAGAAAATGTGAAAGAGCTATCATACTACAAGGAATCTGGGAAAAAGACTGCTGTACTGGAAAGAAGTTCTGATTTTTGGTAGATGAAAGAGAAAAACAGATAAAGAAAATTAACAATGTGGAAATGGCCAAAGTCACACTTGCTCTATGTATACAAAACAGAGCTCATGGCTAGTACGTTCTTGAGTATAACAATAAAAGTTTAAAGTAGAGAACAGCTACTTCACCACACAGACACTCAAGCCCTAATCTACTATTGATTTATTCCATTTCTATGACAGGTTTCTGTCACCAACTAAAACCAGAGAGATACTCTTGTCAATTAGGCACTATGTGACCTTTTCTCTAGATTTAATCAACCCTTTTTGTATTATCACAAAGGTCTTTTCCTTTCATTTCTTTGTTACTGTCTTTATCTGCTTTTAATACAATTCAACCTTTCAACATCTTGATTTAGTCTTCCCTCATCTCACTATTAACCATCTCTTCACTAGTGATTCTAAATAAACTTCAGCACAAATAGAAAACAAACAACTTCTTTCATTCAATTTGTCCTTGTCCCAGACCATAGACATTTGCACCAGAGGCACAAATCACAAAAGAGTAAGATATTCTACACCTGTAGTACTGGTATTCACGGGTCATTCCCCCTGCCTCCCCACAAACTAGCTTAGTCATTACCCTTTAGCTAATTGTCTACTCAACACTCTGCTTAACAGGTTCTGGTCTTCCTCCATGCACATTCCTTTGATCAAGAAGGATACTTCACAGTAGTTAACAGTGCTCGTATGAAACACCCTTTTTGTGAACTGTTTTTATCGAGTATTTTTCCAAGTATTAACAGTACATTCTTTCAATTCAGAAAAAAAAAGAAAAAAATATTGCAATTTATACAACACTTGTCAGCAGTTTAATGCTTTGATCACTCACAGAAACGGCATGCTTTTAGCCAAAAAAAATAAAGAGCACTCTAATGGCAAATTACTACTATGTAAGTAGCAATATACCTGGTTTCCACTGTACCTATGGGAGGCACTTGACTGCTCATTTTTCCAGTTCCCACATGGGGTGCTGAGGTGAGGTGGGGGAAGCCTTCATGGGAAGGCTTTAATCTCATTGTGATACTTATATTAGACCTGCTTGAAAAATGGACCTGCCAGTCTTGTTTAGTGTAAGGGGTCACCAAGCCACCAAAAGTATCGATCTAGGAAAAATAATGGAAGTGGCCCTTGCAACACAGTACCTATACAGGAAATGAGCAACACGCAGTGACCCGAGTATGGCAAGAATGCAGTGCTGTTAAAGTCAGTGTTCTTCTGGGCTTTGACATTGATACTTTCTCAAAAACTATAAAATGTTTTCCCTTAATTTTATTCCATAGTCCAAATTGAGTACTCTTACATTTTAACACAACTAATAAACTTTGGGTAGAACATAAAGATATGTGACTTAATGCAAAATATAATTTGACCCCTCATCACATGAATGCAAGGTGATTCCCACTGAAATAATGGACAGTTATGCTTCCACACAGGAGAAAGCAATCACATTCAGAAAAACAAACATCACAGTCTTAAAAAGTACAAAATACACATCTGCATGAAACAACAGTACTGAACTTCTCCTTTACCCCCTTTTGTTGAAAGTAACTTTCCTCTTTGCATTTATAGGTGCCATTTCACAATGGCTGAACTAAGCAGTAGTTCTTCAGCTGAAGCTAAATCAAACAAACAAAAAGTTTTATAACTTTGTTTACAATGTTTTTTGTGCTCTCTGCCCTCATAGATTAGGTTAGTATGATACTGTAGCAGTTACACGGACACAGTCAAAATAGTGTTAAAAGAACTAGGACATCTTATGTTCTTCCATATTCAAGTAGGCAGAGGGTATGTATTTTGGTATCTCTGGTCAGGAAAAAAAAAACAACCAAAACCTACTGCTACACAACTTTTGCAAGGATTTTCTTACAAACTCAGTTACTTGATTTTTAACTTGCTTAACTCCAGCTTCTGTTACATGGGTGGGGAGAAGGAAAACCAGAGGACTTGGCAGGTGGCTTCTTAGGGTAATAAAACCCAACAAGTAAAGTTGAGCATTTAGGAGGAGGAATAGCAAAATGGTGTGCTCCCAAGCTATTAAAACAGAATGCTAACAGAACAGACAGACCCACTAAACACTCAGCTTTATAAGCTTCATGGTGTAACGCAGGGTATCAAGAAACCTGCAGCATGTCCAGTGTTTGCCAAAGAGAGAGGCATATGACGTGATGCTAGGCAAAGAGCCAAAATACAGAATTGCAACCATGCAAGTTCTGTTTCTCCTCACAGCAGCAAAAACTAAATTCAGCTTGTGATTCATTATTGAGCTATCAACTGCTGACCTTAAAATGCACTCTTGCTCATACAGGACTCATGATTTAGGCAGCTATTGATTCAGGCTTCTCACTTTTTCTCTTCACTTTATTGTGGAGAAGACAGTATCCCATGTCAAACACTGCTAAGGGAGCCCATGTACACCTAGGACTAATGAGTGAAAGATCTCAGGATCCTGCTCTTTTAGCACTACTGAAATTATACTGCCAAATGCAAATATTATGCAAATGCAAAAACATACCTATTATGTATTCACAGCCAGGAAACTTTATCAGGATTGCCTCTTTGAAGCTAATGTATATTAAGTTTCCTATTTTCTTACTCAGAATTAGATAGTCATAAAATTATTGCTACTAATCCTTCACTGACAAGGGACAGAGACATTGTGATACAAGATACTGCTTTTTTCAGATCCAGCTGAAAACTCAAACTTTGCTGTCTTCAACAAAGGCCCAGGGAAATAAAAGAATTTATCTTTCTAATCATTATAAGGATTACCAACAGGTAACCAAATTAATAGCTCTCCTACTGATGTCTCTTCAGACAAGCTCTTTGGTGACACGGTTGCTAATCAATACTGATTTTTTTTTTTTTTCTTCTGAGGCAGGCTGACTGTATTTAAAGAATGAGTAATGACTTAATTCCTAATTTCTTTCCTATCATATATGTCAGAGAACCTCTTGTTATTAATGTCTATCAACTTTCTGCCCAGGAATAAGATGAGAGAGTGAAACAGTAAAAGTCTGTGAAATTACATGCAACATAAACAACATAAAATTAATCACTGTTCTCCCTCTTCTTTCCAGTAAAAGGACACATGGGCATCAAATAAAAATAGAAGGAAGCAGCTCAAATTCAGCAAAAGAGGATAATTAAGCCATGCAAGCCCTTCCCACAGGGCAGTGCCAATGATGAAAATTTACAACGAGTCAAGATGCAAGTGAACAATTTAATGAAAGAAGAATCCATTTAGGATTACTGAATATACAGAAAGCATATCTGGCTCAGAAAGCCCTTGAGCTGCAAGCTGCTGGACACTGGCAGATTAATCGTGAAATATCACTATTTTTGTACATTTTCCCCATTGGCTGTTGTATACTGGTGAAAGCACAACACTAGGCTGGACCTTAAGCCTAACTTTGTATGGCAGCTCTTATATTCTCACATTAATGCATTTTACTGGGTATCCTTCAGTACAATCATTTCACACCAAGTTTGCTGCATCCAAATTACAGTATTTTCTCCAAAACATGGTTGCTAAATCTGCATATTCAGAATTTGTCTTCTGTAAGCTATAGCCCTCCTACCTCCAGTAAGTCAATCATCCGTGTCATTTGGGAGTAGATGAGAACTCTGTGTCCTTGAGATTTCAGCCGTGTCAACAGAAGATCAAGAGCATGAAGTTTTCCACTGTCAGTGATCAGACTCTCTTTGTCTAAAAAGAAATGGAAGAGAAGCAGGTAACTAATAAAACCAAAACAGCTACATGCAACAAGTTAACTTCTAAGTTTTCCTACTACTTCACTGCATTCCTAAAGTAAGGAGTTGTGATGGAAGAAACTGCAACATCCCTTCTGGCTGACACGTACAATCAGACAGTTAACAATAACTTTCTTTTGCTGGGATGGGAGTAGATGAATACACCCACTTGGCAAAATTGCATCACAGATTGATCTCTTCACGAGTATGGATTCAATCCTTTTTTGGACAGCCATTTCCCCCACCAGTTCAATAACCACAACATGCCTTGACAGTTGAAAAAATTTTTCTCCACACATTAAAGTGCTGTCCTTTGGACATTTGCTGCTATCTGCTACTGACCTTCAGACTTACTCTCCACAGATCTACTTTCAAGATCAAACCCCTCACCAACATGGAAAGTGAAGAACAGTTCTCTGGGTCACTGTAAAGTAACAGCCCCTTCACAGCACTGCCCTAACTTTTCTTTTTCTTCCCTGCCCTCCACTTTTTGGGTTGTGGTGGGGTTTTTTTGTTTAAGAAATATTTCCAGATGGCAATCTTTTAAGTCACTTCAGATTTTATACTTCATGTCCTCTCTATTTCAGCACTGCTCATGAAGTATTTTTCAGGAAGGACATCTTCCTGTTGGCACATTCTGTACATAAACTTCAGTAAACAATACATTACTGCTGAAAGAGGATGAAGAGAAATTTCTTCCAAAAAGTTATCTGTTGGAAAGGCCACCGATGATTCTTTATTCTTTGAGATGTCTGAATTTAGGTTTACAGCCAAAACGGAAAGTCGACAACTGCAGATGGTGCAGGCTAGTACAGAATCCAAATATTTTCAACATGTCTAGCAGGTACCACTCTCTAACGTCTAGCAGGTAACACTTCTGCAGGCTTCTCATAGCACAGAATGAATTGATGGGCTGAAGAAAATCCAGCTTTCTGTAAGGCAGTTAACTGTCTTGCACGATATTCCAATTAAAAAAAAAGTATATACAAAAAATTCATTCATCTGAGCACCATGCATTTTAATATACCTAGTGGAAAAGAGGAGTACAGATCACACAACAGCACTCCTAAAAAGATCTTATGAGCACAGCAAGCAACACAGTCCATGAGTGCCCAAGTGCAGTGATGTGGCACAGAGGTCTAAGTCTGATTTTCGCAT